AAGTTGATAAAATGATTAAAAAAATAGTTTCATTTAAATTACACTTTGGCATTAATGGGTTTGGGAAAATTAGCTTTTTGCTTGAAGGCGGCGGTCCTGAGATAGTAACACCTAGCTTGGACGGTAGTTCTTTTTCTGCAATATCAATAATATTGACCTCAGGTAATTCTTACTATCATACTGGAAATAGGGTATTTGGAGTATCAAAAGACTCTGCTGAATTTGATACAATAACTAGTATTAATTTTAAATCTAGTGTAAGCTCATCGAAAAAAGTAAAATTCGACAAAAAAATTATCGCTACATTATGAAAACATTCTTCCTAGGAATAACATTCTTGGTTTTGTTTAATTCTTGCATTAATGAAAAATACATTTATAAGCAAAACACCATTTTTAGTACTAAAATTGATGTAACAAACAAAGGCACTCAATACAAAAGAACCGTTGAGCATGGTTTTGTTTCAAACATTATTGACAAAACTGATTACTTAGTTATTTCAAAAGTGAAAGATGCCAGCTTATCACAAATTAATGACTCAATTGATTTCCTAAACCAGCCAACTCCAGCTTTTATCCAAGCATCAGAAAATAAATACTATTTTTCAAATAATTATGTAGAAAAAACGGGAAAGAAAACAACTAGATTTAGATATTTTGAAACGAAACCAATTTTGCAAGCTATGACAATACCATTAAAATTTAGAAATAGCTTTTTACTTGAAGGTGAAAAGATTGCTCAACAAGTTGAGACAGGTTTTAATTTAGGCTTTGCCTTAGGTTGGAAATTTTCTCATTGTGTATACAATTTGAATAAAAATATATTTTCACAAAATATTAATAAAATTACTTTTTCTCCAGGACTATTATTGGGTTCTAGTGCAGTTGATTTATCGAAAAAAAATTCATTAAATAAAGTAAATTATGATCGCAAAGCTGGGATGGTCTCTTATACACATCTAAGACAACCTCTACACCATAGCCGTCCGTGGCCTTGAAAACGGACAAACCGTGGAAGAAGATATAGTGGTGGATTGCATCAGCCGAACCCTGAGCAGCAAAACCCACTGGGACGAAATATTAAAAACAGCCGAAAATCCGGAGATTCAACTCGTGGTGTCCAACACCACCGAAGCTGGACTGGTGTATGTGGCCGAAAACCCCTCTGAAGGCTGTCCAGAATCTTTTCCAGGAAAACTCACGGCCTGGCTGTTCAGGAGATTTCAAACCAACAAGGCCGAAACGCTGGTGGTCCCTACCGAGCTTATCGTAAACAATGGTGGCATACTGAAGGGCATAGTGGAAGAACAGGCCAAGGCCAATCAATTGGGCAGTGATTTTGAAGAATGGCTCCTTCAAAAGGTAAAATTCTGTAGCTCGCTGGTGGATAGAATTGTACCGGGCAAACCCAATGAATCAGAGGCCAATAAGTTATTCGAAAAAATTGGCTATACCGACAAACTTATCATCAAGGCCGAAGTATACAGGCTTTGGGCCATTGAGGGCGAAAACATCGAAGAGTTTTTGGGATTTGCGGAGGCCGATAGTGGCGTAAAAATCGNGTACCAAGTGAAGGTAAATACGAGGACAGTTGGCAGAGTTGTCCCTGTCTCTTATACACATCTAGATGTGTATAAGAGATTGGCATAAGCCGTTCTCCCAAACAATTTTGTTCGAAAGATTATAAGCTTTGATGGCATAAAAATAGATAGAATCTGGATTTTGTGTGTATTTAAAGTGAAAATAAGAATTATTAAGATTAGTAATTACTTCTTTGTTAGAATATTCATCATTCATTGTTTGAGAAATTGCTAATTGGTATTCAAAGAAAAACATGAAGTAAATCCCTTTTTTCAGAATAAAATCAACGTATTTCATTATTAAGTTTCATTTTTTCAATTAATATTGGACTATAGTGGTCCGACCTGCCGATGTGATTTTTTAAAACACCCCCGTGTATACTTGCTTCCACAGTATATATACTTGCTTCATCAATAAAAACCGAATCTGTTGAGTTGTGGTTGAAAAATTTTGTTTTCCAGTCTTCAAAAGGTAATAAATATGAATCAGATTTTCCTTTGCTTGAAGGGAAGTCAATAACATACTCTTTAGTCCGTCCATTTAATTCTTTAATGTTTATAACTGATGCAACATGAAATTTCCAATCTTTTCCATATACTTTGGAATCAATACAGCCACCTATTTTTTTAGAAATATAAAATGCTTTTTTTGTTCCAATTTTATATTTTTCAAAGTGTTGATTTATAAACTCAGCAATTCTTTGACATTCGGCTGGACATTTGAAATCAATGCTATCGGCTTTCATTTGATTCAAAAGAGAACTAATTTTATCTAGTGCCACCTGTTTTGAAATCGGGATAAAATCATATTTATTAATATATTCCGACATTTTTCGGTTATGATAAATTTTTTTGATTTGGTCTACACACTTCAGTGTACTAGTTCGAGTATTACATTCTGAAGTGCTTTTAATTGGACGATCAAGGGATTTCAGAGATATATTGTCTACAATAATTAAATTTCTGTCAAACTGTACTAAAACTAAATCATTCTCTTTACGACTTTCGATTAAATCCAAATTTTTTCTAAAATATTTGTTTTTAGAGTTAAGATTAAAAACTCGGGTAGAATCAAAAATATCGATTAAATTATATTCAGTGTCACTAATTTTTATTACTTTGGGATAGATATAATTCCTGTATGTTTTTAAAAAATGAGTAATTTCAAAAAAAACGAAACAAAAAGGAACAATAAATATTGCGTATTTATATCTTTTTTTCATATAAGCATTTATTTAATATGATATTAAGTAAAGGAATAATTCCATTTTACCTCAAAGAATTAGGATTTGAAATTGGAAAAATCAACATATCTTCACCCAAAAATACCAAAAATTTTTGTTTTAAAGTAAAAGTTTCAGAAGGTAATGGATATTTTCTTAAACAATCGAAAAGTAATAATAAGTATTTTTTGGAAGACATTAAACAAGAAGCTTTGTTTTATCAAGAAATTAGTCAAAATGAAACCTTTAAAGAGATTAAATCTTACATTCCAACTTTTTTCGGTTTTGACAAGAATAATGGAATTATCATAACCGAACTAGTTCGTAATACTTTAAGTTTAGATGATTATTTTAAAAAACATGTTGTGGATATAAATGTTATCAAAAAGTTAGGAGTTATTTTTTCAATTTTGAGGCAAATTAGTCCTTCTAACATTGATAATTATTCAAAGACAAAGACTCTTTCAATTTTTAACTTAGAAAATGATGATAATTTTATTTTTAGCTCGGTTGAAAACCCTTCTTTAAAAGCAATTGTAAAACAAATTAAACAAAATAAGATATTATTAATGGGATTAAAGAAAACAGGGAGTTATTGGGAGATTAATGGAATATTAAATGGTGATATAAAATTCAATAATTTTTTAATAATAAATGAATCNAGTATCCAAATACAGCTATACTAGGATTGACTGTGAATGATTTTAAGACAAATGTAAGCTAAAAACCAGGCGATAGTACGAAATTTAATAAGGTGTTTTGATTACTTAATTGCTTGGTTTTTAGTGTTTTGTCTTTCTTTAATCTAGTATTTTACGGGGCTTCTGAAAACTTTAGAAAATACTAGACTTTGTGATATGAAATTAATAAGAAAATCGCAAAAAGTAAGCCCTTCTATTGTCCAGACAGTACAAAATTCATAAAAAATACCAAAAATACAGTATTTCCAACGCCATTGATTCAGCCTAATTTTGACAAGAAAAAGAGAGAAAGTGATGAGCTACACCATCGGATGGGATACCAAAGCCAAGGAGGGTTACCTCACGGCTGTGGATGAAGACCTGGTATCGCATGCGTTTGGGCAGCTTTCGCAAGAAGAGTTCAGAATCCTCTATGATTTATTGAAAGAAGATAAAGTATTTATAGATAACAACCACTGGTTTGTGAGTGGTTGGGACAGCAAACAATCACCTTTATGACTAAAATTATTTATCCTGCTAGCCTGAAGCATGGGGATGAAGTTTATAAAATCTACGGCAGGAACCAACCAAGCGTGTATTTTATCATTTTGAAACTATGAATCATTATAATTTAAATCAAATTGAATTCTGTAGATTAAAAAATGAACTTTCGAAGTTTAAATCCTTTGAAAGTGACCAATATTTTTTCTTTAAACTTAATACCTTCAATTCTGACAACAGAAACAAGCTGAGGAATATTATAAGTCATTATCCTGATAAAAAACTCGTATTACTTTCCGAAAGCAATAGCATTTCTAGTTTTGCTTGGCGTATGCGTGCCTTTCATTTTTTGAATGTGCCCATCACCCAAAACCAATTAAAAAAGCTAGGCCACAAAATTGCCAATAATATTGCCATACCGCCAATGCTAAAGCTTTCATTTAAGGGGGGGGCGGATATTATTAAATTGGAAGACATTAATCTAATAAGTGGGCAGGGCTGTTATTGCAAGTTTCATTTTAAGAATAAGCCTGCACAATTGTATACCGTCAGAATTGGTAAGTTAGAGGATACTTGTTTAGAAATTCCTTCATTTCAAAAAATCAATAAGTCTACCATTGTCAATATTGGTAATGTTTCCAGAATAGATGGAGAAACCCTTTATTTTAATGGCAACAATAAGCTCAAAATTATTGTAGGAAAACGCAATTGTTTAAAGATTAAAAATGAGTTTAATCGAATCATATCATCATGGGGAAAGAAATCTATATAGGCAATACCGAAAACAAAAACTGTGAAATAAAAATTGATGACGGAGCAGTGAGTTTTTTACATGCAAAAATTTTAATGAATGAATCGAAGAAGTTTTACATCGAGGATCTACAAAGCAAAAATGGCACATTGGTTAATAATCGATTTATTATTAAAAAAATGATTTTTAAGGATGATTTAATAAGAATTGGACAGAATACTTTTCTGGGTGCAGAGCTAACGGACAAATTGATATTTGAGATTAATAAAAACAGGATACAGTTTTTTGATGAATTTGATGAATTAAAAGTACACTTCGAAAATTTTCAAAATCAAACGAAAAGGCTAAATGATGATTTCAAAAATAAACTGACCTTGGTTCGGGTAGCATTCCCTGTGTTTTTCTTATTGGTATTCGTGGTTTTTGGCGAGAAAATGGGTATACCTGCTAACTTGAGAATGATAATACCTGTTATTGGGGGAGGTATTTCGTCTTTTTTTGCTGATAAATTTTTTAGCACAGAAGAATTAAAAGATAAGCTGCAATTTCTTCGAGAGGCCTATCAGGAAGTTTTAGTTTGCCCCAAATGTAAATTAGAATTGATAAATAAGTCGAGCACATATTGGGAAAGTAAACGCAAATGCCCTAAGTGTCAGGCAAATTGGGTGGAATAACTATGGAGACTGTAAAAAAAATAAAATGTAGAAATTGTAAGGCCTTTTTCGAAAAAGACATAAAGTTATTTCTGCTTTATATCGATAAAAAAATTAGCATAAAATGTGATTTCTGTGGCTCGGCTGTGGAGATATTGGTAAACAACGAATTCCTGAAGCAGGAGGTAATAGGCGACGAACAAAAAACGAAAATATACAACTTTAAA